TTTCCCTAACATAAGGCTCCATAGCACAAGCCATCTTGACTGCGGGTGAAAGAGAGACAAGACATTGCTATTAGCTTCCTTAACCTCAAAAAAACTCCCCCCCAGATACCAAACTGGAATCATTTCAAACCAAACCAGAGATAATTAAGTGGTTTGTCAAAATTACCCAGACTGTCTTCCCCCACCCCTCCTTTTCCATGGCCAGGAAACAGCGCAGTGCCTCATTTGGGCAAATCCTGGGAATCCAGACTTGGCCTTCCAGCGTTTTGGATACATCAGATATTTCTCTGAACTCCCAAACACCATCGTTTTCAGCACTCTGCACTGCTCCTTCCCTTTCAAAGGGTAAATCCTCTTATTAAAAACAACCAAAAGCAGTTACAGGACATTGTGACAGACATACGGCACACAGCATAATGCTACTGTAAAATACAAACAGAAGACAACTACTCCTTTGCCTCTTTAACCTTCTCTTCTCAGTTACTGCCTCTATTATTATTATTTTTACCCAGCACACCTCTGTCCTTCACTGACTTTTAATCCTATCTTGTAATGTTCTCAGATGAGAGAAACTTAGTCCTCAGACAAGCCTTTCCTGACCGATGCTCCTTATGTTTTGAAATGGATTTGGCCTCTCAGGCACCAAATCTTTGCCCAGCAAAACCTGGTGATAGGGAACTCCCTCACAGCATCATCGCCCTACGTGGGAAGGGGAATCTGGGTCCTTTTGAGGCATTTTCTCCTGTTCCAAATTCTACTCACAATAGCCCCTCTTTTACAACACCATCCCTTATGAGGAGCGGCTGAGGGAGCTGGGGCTCTTGAGCTTGGAGCAGAGGAGACTGAGGGGTGCCCTCATTCATGGGGATCAATGTGGAAAGGGCAGTGTCAGGAGGAAGGAGCCAGGCTCTGCTCTGGGATGTCCAATGCCAGGACAAGGGGCAATGGTCCCATGCTGGAGCATAGGAGGCTCAGGCTGAAGATGAGGACAAAGTTTGTCAGTGTGAGGGTTATGGAGCATGGCCCAGGCTGCCCAGAGAGGTTGTGGAGTCTCCTTGTCTGCAGACACCCAAAACCCTGGCCATGTTCCTGTGTGACTGCTCTGGTGATCCTGCTCTGGCAGGGGTTGCACTGGGGGAGCTTTCCAGGGCCCTTCCAACTCCTCATATTCTGTGATTTTGCTGAATTTCTGTCACTTCATCTCGCAGGGAGCTTCCTCCCAGCACTTCCTTGCAAGCAAGTCACTACTTGAGCCATCAGCTGGGCTGTACCTTCAGACTGATTAGACTGCCAGATAATTAGAAAAGCTCTCTCAGTAATCTACATTCTGATAAACGGCATCCAAGGTGACATCACTCTTGTATCACTTCATTAATTCTCCGTGAGAGTAAAGCTATTGGAATTAAAAGCTATGTTTAATAAGTGAAAACAGTTGAGTGTTGCAATTTCTTTTCCAGGCAGTGTTACCCGCCAAAGAAGCATTAAAAACGTGGATGCCTCTGCATATTCCGAATACTTGCATTTCTGTTTGCTCCCTGATGGAGCAGGGAATGTCCACACCTGCAGCTGGAGATGTGACCGTGGGAACTGGGAGCACCCATGGGTGCCCATGCTGCCGTTTGCTGTTCACGTGCACACGTGCCTGCCCAGAGGCAGTGCTGTGCAATACCATTAAATGTTTAGCACTGCATATTTAATTTCAGTCATCACTTTGAAGCTGATGAACTTCATAATAATAAATTAAATAATAATAAATAAAGAACTTTTTAAATTTTTTTTTTAAATAATTTGTTCATTCCATCTCCCTCAATCTCACGGCACTGCCGATATGGGCACAACATGGATTTGCACAGAGCAATAACCGCAGGTGTGCTCATGGTCAGAGCCCGGAGCCCATCTCTGCACGTAACGCGTGTCACCACACATCACCGCAGCACTGCCCTCTTCTGCAAAGACAGCCGTTTTCTTCTGCCAATCCTCTCCTATAAAAGGACATTTTTACCATAAACCATGATCCTATAAACTACTTTCTTCCAAAAATATTCCTGCATAAACACGATGTGGCCTGTTACGACTGAAGCGAACATTTCCAATAGTCTGAAATTATAAAAGTATACATATAAATATTCTAAACAGCAAGAGGGAAAACAGTGAACTGTAAAGCCCACGCTTGTTCCTATCACGCTGTTCCAGTGATCGCATTAGATTCCCCATACATTTTCCATGCTTAAATAAATGGCATTAAGGCAGCAGCTCTGCACACAGCGATATTTCGGCAAGCCGTGCTATGAGCCGCTCCGCTGCCCGCAGGGTGTTTCTCGGAGCGGCGTCTCTCCTCGCTGGCAGCCCGTGGCCACGAGCACCGAGCAGCTCCCTGTGATGCGCAAACGTCTCAATTTGGAGCCCGAGCCTCCCACACCTTGCGCCGGTGCTCAGGAGCACCATTACCAGCAGAAACCCATGGCCTGTGGCCTCGTCCTTCGCCGCATTACAAATTACCAATCAAATTTTAAAACGATGATGATGATCATTCATAATATTATTACATCGGTGGGACGTTATGGCTCTCACTCTGGCAATATAACTCAAAGCTAATGCTTTTTCTGATGCACAATTTACCTCAATGTGTAGAAGAGGGAAGGAAGATGTCAGGCCATGTCATTTGGTGCGATATTGAGCTATAATGTGGTGTTTCAGTTCGATAGGGTAAGTTACCCATCAAAAACAAATGTTTCTGCTCAATCCATGCCGAGGGAAGGCAGAACACCGTTATTATGTGCACTTCAGAAAGCACGGGCTGTGAGTAATTGCAATAAAATGATGGCACAGACAATAAGGGTGATAAGATGCTTTTAGAAACGATCCTAAAGATCTTTCAGCAATTTTTAGTCAAATTCCAGCCTTCGGGGGAGATTCCGAATGCCAAATTTAACAGCCGTGTGTTCCCAGAGGTAACTGCACTGTTTCTATGCTCAACACTCCTACTCCCATCCCTGAATTGAAACCAAAAGCACATGACGTGAAATACGGAAAGTTTTCATCCCTGTTCAATCAAAGTAAAACATAACCTCCTAGGAACTAATTCCCTTTGATCAAAATTCAAAGCAATTATTCAACATAACACATTTCAACTGCTGCTGTGAGAAATTAAAAGGAGAGGGAAGGAGAGGCAAAGGGAAGGAACGGCAAGGCAGAAGTCAGACATCGTTGGCTTCACTGTGGCTATCCCAGGAGATATCTCCTGGCCAAAGCTCATCCACTGCAACTTAAGCCCTGAGCAAATACCCTGACCCCACACTACGGATGTTCACCAAAGAGTTTGAGGGCAGACTCCCTTCATTTCTGGGTTTTAGGCATACTTCTATAGACAAGTGCCTTCCATCCAGCTCCTTCACTGAGTGCAAGATCATCAAACCCATGCTGCTGAATTGTCCCCATGGATCTGTCTCCAGCTGAGTCTCCCCACACCAGGGATGCAGCCCATCCAAGGCAGTCCAGGTCCAGCAGCAGGAGGAGGGCGCAGTGGATGCTGTTACCTGTGCATTTACGGTCCGTGTCCTCCTTTTTGGAGCCACTGATGGTCAACTTGCAGTTGAAGTTCTCCTCCCAGTACTCTGCAAACCACACGTTCCTCCGGTTGTTCTCCAGCGTGCGGGAGGTGAAATAGGCATCGAACCCTGGGGAGGAGACAGGCAGAAAGATGAAGTCTACAACAACTATTGTGTTTCTGCCTCCTGCAGTAGCCAGCACACGTTCACATCGCTAGCCACACGAGATGGCCGCGGAGGGACAGGAAATCTGTCACACGCTTTATCTCATCAGCTGCACTTTGCAAGTCAATTACTCTGCTACTATCTGTGAGGTATAAAGCTAGGTAAGATATATGTAAAACACAGATCAATATACAAAAAAAAAAGGAGTCATAAGCAAAAAGCATGGATTAGATATATCCTGATAAGGAATGAAAATAAAGGATATGGCGCAGCTGATCTCAGCACAACTAATTTAGTAGAGAGAAGGCAGTTTCATCTGAACTGGCCATCAGCAGTGTACCCCACTGGTTCTGTAGCATGTATTTTTATCTTAATTTACTTTTGCAAAGGTACAGATAAACTCAGAGAGCACAACTTGCACGAGGTAACTGAATCGCTGCAATTTACCAGATGCTTGGGTTAGACATCCTGGAGTGGGGGAGAAAAGAACCCCACAACAAAAACCCCAAAGCCAGCAGCGAGGTTTCCTTCATTAGCCCAGTGAGATCACTTTGTTCCTGAAGCCACCCAGCACTGCAAGAGTAAAAGTAACACACAACTGCAGCATTAAAATAATAATGAGGAAAAAAATGACAATTGTTAACAGCTGAGTTGAAGGGCAGTGAAGATACTTGAAGCCTTTCCAGTTATCAGCCTTCAGCCTGCAAGGAGAACTCCAAAGCTTTTGCTTATGCAGACAGTTTAGATTCTGTGTTTTCCAGAATTGTAACCCCAGTTCATGTCCAGGTAACAAAAGAGCTTTTCCTTTTCCCAAGAAGGTTGTTGAGGTATCCAAACTATGGGAGTCTGAAGCCTGGGCAAAGCAGATCAACAACAGAGAGGACCCGACAACACCGCTTGCACACCGAGAGGCTGGGAGGTAAATTATCTGCCATCCTAGGAGTGCAAATCCACTGAAGATTCAAATCACACAGTATCTATTTTGTCCCTTTACTTGGCTTTACAGCTTGCACCAGCATTGCAGAAGAGGATGAAAGCACAGAAGCAGCAAGCTCTTACAGATACTAACTAATCTCTTTATATTGCATGATCACATGGCTCCTTTTGACTTCACAGTTAGAAATGACAGTAAATACAAATCCCATTGAAAGAGAGAAAAAAGTCCCTTGCACCATCACCAACAATTTCTCTCTCTGACACAGGTGTGTGAACGGGCTTCATCTGGCACCCACAACTCATTGAGTTGAGGAAAACCACGTGGCATCGCTGAATTAGCAACGCAAAACATCCACGGCGGGGTAAAAACAGACGGTGTGTAAACAGATGTTTGCAAATAAGCAAGCAGATTAGGAGCGGGGTCAGTCTGTCTCCTTGTTTTAGCTTCATGTCCTATTGACCCAACTGTAATGTGTATTTTCCTATGCTGAGTCTCCTGCTCATGACTCGCATCAAAAGCTCACTGCTCTTAAGGCACAGCGTACACCAACAAAAATCAAACCAGAAAAGTAAGTGGTGGGGTCCTCCAGAAACAGGCTGAAAGCAAATCCAAAGCTTACCTGCACCCTCACTAGAAAATAACCTGGGATATAACTGGATATACAGCTTCACCTGGGTTCCCCAAGATTTAGGGAAATCATTTAATACAACTCTCCTGCCACTGCTTTTCTACTTAATTAATGACAAATTAGCGACTTATGAATGTTTCTGTGCACGGTCTCTAGAAAGGACAGCATGATTTTTGAATGGGAGCTAAATTTTCTTAAGCAAAATATTCCTGTGGATGGGTCAGAAGAAAATTTAGAAAATACCCTTAGATTTTTAGGTACATACAAGCTAAACCTATCTTCCCATAAACCCGTGTGTATTAGTTTTACTCATAATTAAAAGAGCATTTCAAAGGGGATATTCAGCCATAAGATCTGCAATACATATAGAGCTCAAAGAGAAATGGTATAGCTCCCCAATGTGCCAAAGTAACTGACCTCTGGGAAAAGCACTCTATAACTTAATAAGATAAAAATCAATAAGTCTTGATAAAACCGTAATAGAATTCCATCAGAATTACTCTAAACCTTTACAGCTATAATAACAAATAATAACATTCCCATTGATTCTTTTAATGATCCCTCTGCGTTCTCAAGAAGGGACATAGATCCCTATTAAAGGGTGGATATCTTTAATCATTATTTCCTATTGATCAAGACAAGCACGCAAGTGGCTGACTGAGGGACAGAGTTACACAGCCAAATGCATGTAGTTGTCTCAAAAATACTAAAACAACAGACATTACTACCAGCTAGGTCTATTTCTACGCTTCCCACATCCCCCAAAGCTGTCCTGCAAACAGCCTAATGCATCTCACCTTAGATTTTTCTTTTTTTTTTAACTATTATGACCAATTAAGTTGAAATACAGGCAAACATAACATATATATATTCTTTATAACAGCGACAGACTTAAGCCTGTGCTTTAAGCTTAATCATTTTGGACTGAAGACATTAAGACAACTTACATGCGTAGTGCTAAACATCAGGGTTCTGGGGACTGGGGAATGAGATGACCCAACCACAAAAGCTGGGCACTTAAACGTAAAAGCAGGAGTAATCACTTCTTACCCTTGCACACGGCCAAGTACTACACTTGTGCGACAAGATTTAGTGATTTCCCAATGTTCCCCATACATCATACTTAAGAAAATGACTGTCTTCAGCAAATACCTCCAAGAGATACACATAGTTATTTTATGAGATTGTACAAATTAAAACGAATTCCTTATTACTTTTAATCACTGTGATTTGATTAAATCATTATTCTTACCCATAGAGAAGGCGATACTACCTAACGGGTTCATTTATTTTTTTTCACCCCAGGATTAATATATAAATTAACTACATAGTGAGGAAATAGACTTTAAAAGAAAAAAAGGATGGGGGGGAGTAGGGGAGAGGGACCGGCTGCCAAGTGCTGTGGTGATGTCCAGGTGATGGGGTGTGCAGACACCAAACCAGGGCACTTTGGGTCACTTCCCTGCTTTGCTGGATGTGACTCCTTAGAAGATTGGTTCGAGCCTCAACCAGAAAATGAAGCTTGCTGGCTCATGGCTGCTTTTTACACCCCTAAAAAGCCTACTTCCCTGCTTTGCTGGATGTGACTCCTTAGGAGAGTGGCTCGAGCCTCAACCAGAAAATGAAGCTTGTTGGCTCATGGCTGCTTTTTACACCCCCAAAAAGCCCCCAGATGATTAATTTCTAGCTTTAATCTTGCATCTCTCCTTCCATTTGGTGCTGCCCTTTTTCTGCCTGGAAGCACAGCACTCGGCTCCCCGGCAGAGCAGGCTGAAGGGATGATACGTGCAGTGAGGATAAACCAGGCTCCAGGACCGACGCTGCGCTTTGCCATGGTCAGCTGCATCACAGAGCGGGGAAAAAGGGCAGACCTGCAGAGGAGCCATTCCTCACAGGGCAGGCATCAGGCACACACCAACGAGGAAAAGATGGGGTGAGCAAGATGCATGGGGCAGTACCAAAAACGAGCGATCCCCTAGGAAAAGAGATGCAAATAGGGGATGCAATGACACCAGTGGAATCAGCATCAGCCCAGTGGAGACCCCAGCACCCTGGGGGGCACCATAACTGCAGGTGGCTGGGGAAGATCCACAACCACAACATGCTACCGGTGTGAACAAACCTGGTATTTGTTTTTAAGAGAGATTTCTGCCACTTCTTGTTTACCAAATCACTCACATGCACTGCAAGGCGTCTAATTCCATGTGTCAGCAGTCCCTTCGAGGGCTCCGGGGTTATTTAATAAGGAAAATAATTAAGCCTAATTGAAACACGACGTTGTTGACCTACTGCATTTCTCACATGCCTGAAGTGTTTTCACTCTCGGCCCACGTGGCTTGTGAGCAAATACAACATATTGACCCAATTTCATACCAACAGTGATTTGATTGGTTTGTAACATTTGTACTCTTCTCTATTTAGTCCAAAGTATGTTCCCACTAGTGAGTACCAGCTACACAGATTTTATTTGCTCAGCTAGTAACTCATCACTTACTATGGTTACCGATGCCAAGTGAGTTCAAAGCAGCTACTCAGATAATTTCCTGATTTTCCTGGCACTCAAGCCAAAACAGTTTAATCTACTGATATTAAATCTGGGATAAAAGCACCTGATGTGGAATGATAAGATCAATTTTAAGACTGCTAGTCTCTTTCTGGGTTTTGTTATGTTGCCCAAGCCACACACTGCGCAGAATTATGGAACCGTTAAGATCGAATACAGATATTTTCTTGACCTTCTTCCTCAATAAAGAGGCCATAACACTCACTGATTTTATTAACTTTCTCCATGCCATAAAAAGGCTTTGCAGTTGTTTTCTTTTTTAAGAGCTGCCGCTAAGAACAGAGAAAAAGGGTATTTTTGGCTGATGTCACATTTGACTTTTTTATATACATGACAAAAAGCACGCACAAAGGAAACTCAGCTTGCCATACTCAGGACAAACCCGGAATTTTAAGCTATAAAGCATCTATTGCAGAAATAGATATATATTGGCTAAGTATCATCGTTATCACTTGTATAAAATTATACAGCTGGCACAGCAAGGAGATCGTGACCTAGGCAGTGTCTAGCCAGCACTGCAATAGAAAGGTTAATATAGAAGTATATTACTAATCATTATTTTACATTTTACTGCCCTCAAGCACTTCTTACTTTCACACTAAGTTATACCATTTATATCAATACAAGCAGTTAGTAGAAAATCCTCAATCCATTTCTCCTATTTGTCATTTTTTTTACTGCGGTTCTCAGCTGAGGTTTCCCTGTTGCAGCAGGCGCTGGGCACACACCGAGGAGCCTGGCCCCATCCCTGGGCTCTCCGTCTGCTGTGGCCTCCTGCCTGGCCTCACCTAACCTGGAGGGACCCACTGCTTCCTTGACCAACAGCAAAACACCCA